CGACTCTGACAAGCGGAAACCCATGAGGCAAGAAATGAAGTCCTGAGAGCAGCTCGAGTGAAGTCGTACGCCCCATCAGAAATAATCTTCTTGATCAATCCAGTGATTCCATACAACTCTTGTTGTGTGCTCAAGAACCAAATCGAATCCAAAGAAATGCACAGTGCATCATTCAAAGTCTGAGGATCAGCCAACAAGATCAGACTCTCGGCAAGCTCCCAATCATGCGAACTCACAGCACCTTGAAACAACCGACCTAACTCGATCCTATCTTGTCGACTCAGCTTCCTCCCATTTTTTCCAGGCTCGGAATCAGAAGCGGCGGCCAATCTCGATTTAAGTTTCTCTGCACCACAGCTACAAGAACTCATGCTAGGATCTTCCTTTATAACGAGCGGAGCTTCTCTTGAGAAAACCACATTTCCATGGCTTCCTCCTCCATCACCCTTCTCCGAACTAAAATCTTCGATCTCAGTTTCGTGTTTATTCCCATATTCCACCATTGATTTTCCAGTCTCGACAGCATCCGTTTCCATCGTTTCAATATCTGAACATTGAGGCTCTTCCGTTTTAAGCTGTTCCCTGGTATCTACGCCCTGGCTTTCGATTTTAATCGTCTCGCTTTCCCTTCCGAATCGAAGTAACTTTTCCGTTTCCATTCTTGGAGCAAATAAGAAGTTCGATAACTCAATTTCCCCAACTGTCACCCATTACTAAACTATCAGATAAGAGCTAATAATTCTGCCACAAAACGTTCCCGAATCGAAATTTCCTAATCTCCTTCAGTATATGCCCTTCAATCAAACTCCCAATTTCTCAGGTGCGAAGGGAAACAAACACAAGCAAACTGAATAAACAAAACATATTCAGAGACTAAACCCCTTCTCATCAACATATATATATATAACCCTATTTTCTATAACAAAAAGCACGATGATGGAAAATTTTACAGAAGAGCAAAAATTAATCAGGAAATTACAATAATTCGTTAAAATATTACCTCCTTACACTCTCGAATCATGTGAAGAACTCCGCCATCTTCATAACCATCGGAAAACTCATAAACCCTCCACCTTCAAACCTCCATATTATTGCAGAAACAAGATCCACTAACGAATCCCTACCAAAAATCAAATATCCATCAATCAAACAGAAATAAAATTGCCTCAACCGTGGCAAAGGGAAAGCACGAAAAAAAACGATCAAAAAAGGAGAGAACAAAACAGCACCCGAAATATTATTGAACACAACTACCTCCCAACAATTAATTGGAGATGAATGGAGTTCGATCAAAAAAATTGCAGAAACATTTTCATTTGGGAAGAAAATTAGAAAGAAGAAAAGTTATAGGGAGAGAAAATATACCGAAATAATTATGAGTGGAGAGAGGTAGAGAGAGAGAGAACATGTTGGTGGTTGCCTCTGTCCTTCTGTGTATGGTCCTTTGCTCCTCAGCTCTTTTGTTTTTTTCTCCTTTTCTGCTTTTATTATATTATTATATATATTTTTTATTATTATTTAATATTTAATATATATTAAAATGTTGCATTGACGAAATAAAAAATTTGGGGTGGGTTTTATATTAGACATTAAACTTATAAAAAGTTTGAGATTGTAAGCAAACAACTTATAAAAAAATATATGTAGAATAAATAAAAATTATTATAGTGTATTTTTGATAAACCTATTATTTTATATAAATGAAGGAATATAATTTATTTATTTTTCATTTTTAGTAATTTATTTATCCTCTCTCATATTTTCCTTTTTCTTAGATGCTTTCTGTATAAAAGTAAACATATTAAAAAATAATGACATATATTATATTCATCATCTACCACTAATCACTCGACAAGTCAAATCACTAAATTATTATTATTAACCAAAAAAAAAATAAGCATAAAAGAATTAGAACACAATAATTAAACCATTGAATCATATGTCAATTAATCAAGGTTCGAAATTCTTTTTCGACAATTGTTAGGTCGAGTTTGTCACGCACGCCTAATATTTAGGGATGAAAATTGGAACTGAATTTACTAATTCCGCCAATTCCGATCCGAAAATATTCGAATTTGTAACACTTTGTTTCATTCCGATTTCCGATCCAATTTTATTTTCCGAAATATATATATATATATATATATATAGTATTTTTGAATTGTTTTTCTATTTATGTTTTGCAAGAATTGTGTTTACTTTTTCTTTTTTTGAAAATTCGCAACAAATATGTTTGCTTTGATAAACTGCTTATGTTGTTTTTACAAGTGTTTACATTTCCTCTTGCTGACATTTGTTTTGGATTATTGCATTTGGCCGGAAAATATTAGAAACAAATGCTAAAAATTACTACTATTTCCGATTTTGGAACAAAAAATTAAGAATTAATGTAATTTCCTAATATTCCGAAATTCCGCCGATTCCGAGTATTCCGAAATTGGAATGGATTTTTAAATTCCGAATTTTTGGAACTGAAATTGGACCTATTTTTACTTGCGAAAGATTGG